TATATAGTTATAAATACACGAAGATGCACGATCTGTGCACGTTCGTCACTGCGTAGCGTTCAACACAGTTTTGGTATCCTTGGTACTTGCCACACCTTTCGCTAAGCGAGAAACTACAGTGGGTATATAGTAAAAAAATCAATATATAATACATATATGTATTTGCACACCTCATCTTTCGTGTTTGGCGGATCATTTTACACGAAAAAGAAAAAATATTACTGTAAACAGTGTCTCTCTCTCTCTCTCTCTCTTTCTCTCTCTCTCTCTCTCTCTATCAAAATGTTTTTATTAGGATATCGAATAAAGTATTTTATGTGACAACATATTCTTCTTTTCTTGTAAAATTGTCCGGAAAATTTGGGACGTGCAAAAGTATGTTTTTGATCGTACATACGATTTTTTCGTAAGCTTTTAATTACATAAAATTAACAGCTTTTTTAGTAAGAACACATGATATAAATTTGACAATAAAATCTCGACGACAGCCGTTAGATAATATTACTCTAATCGCAGAATGGAAACCGATTTGCGCGATAACAATCGATATGTAATTATCTTGTAATATCTATGTATTTCGATAAAATCATTCAAAATGAAACGACAATACGTATTGACAACGATATCGAGATATTATTAATACTTCCGATAATTTATAGGGAACATTTATATCACACGCATACATAAAAGAACGTATTTAAAATTTGTTTTAATTATGCTTTTAAAAATTTTTTCTATATTCTACAATACGTTTTACAGTAAAGTTGCAAAACAGCATAAAATATTTAGAAAAAATATTTGATAATACGTAAAGATGTATGAATGTATGCCGCTGTCTCTCTTTTAAATTTGAATCCAAAACTGTGTTATTTTATATGTCAAACACGTTTCTTCTTAAAGAAATAATGTAATGTATACTATATATATGGCAAACAAAAATGTAGTTTCTGATTGCAGCAAACAGACAATCATATCATATCACGTTTTGTAAATATCGATCGATTCGTTGTTTATAAAATAATATTTAATAATTTTGGTGATTAATACGCAGAACAAATTAGGAAGAAATGTGACATACTTGTATTTATTTAGATGTTTTATTTCATATGTTAAACTATATGTATATGTTTTATATGTTTTTTTACGTCTTTTAATCTATGAGTTTACTCTATGAAAAATATTTGTTATTAATTTTTATTTTCGAAAAATTACTCAATTCTCATTACTTCGAAATATTTTTAATTTTTTTTGCTGTTTTTTTTTTTTTTATTTTAATATATCTTTTTATTCATGATATCAATGAATGAAGATGGACATAGAGAAAGTAGATTTATTTTTTAGTCTTATCGGAGAAAGAAGAATGTAACCGGGAGCTGCGGAGTATTATATTCTTCTCTTAAAAACACATCATGTTTGTCTTTCTATCTTCTTTGACCAGATATTACGTATTAAAACTTTTTTCATCGGTTTTGATATATAAAATTATAAGAAGTTAATCGCGGAAGTTTATCATGATTATGTAAATTTTATACTATAGATACTTAAAAGATGTGTTATACATTGCTACGCTCTTATTGCTATCTGCTTATCACTAGATCACTATCTTTATCACAAGTGATATTGTTGCGATTTATAAAGATGCTTAATGTTTGCACATAGATATGATATTAATAAAATCGAGCAAGAAAGTCGTAGATCGCAATATGTAGATCACGATAGATAAAATGCCGCGTTTTATAATGGAAGGAAAACCTCTTTACATAATAACACATAAGTACTTCACATTCATATATTCTATTTGTGAAGAAAAAATTTGCACATATCCATGTGTTGAATCATACGATTACACGATGATGTTTTAGCGTTCTTAGTGGCTTGAAATGCAACAGATTTGATCGATTACGTTGTAAAAGACGCTGCTTTTAACGAGAGCTAGCCGTTTAACAAACACGTTTTCTCACAAGGTAGTGTAACGTGAAATATGTACAAGAGATAATGAAGCAAGTGTATTTTCGACGAGAAAATAATGTAAAATAAACTAAGTTGCGTGAAGGTTACAGCTGCGATGTGAAGCTATTATGGGATATAGCGATTCGAAAAGAGATATTCCCCTTATTTTTTACATTTAGTGAATGTTAATAGATGCTATTTTTTGCGTCGATGTTCTTTTATACGTATAATAATATATTGCGATAATTAATACAGACAATTCCTTGTATCTTTTTCGGATCCTTGTACATATTTCGTAGATATTGCTTTGCTACTAAGCAATACTTTTGTAAATAGTTATCTTTTTCTTTCGTAGATGTGTGATTGTCTGATTTATCTAATTAATCTGTGTATGCCAAATCTACAATATAACTTCAGCTAAATATTGGAGCACATGTTTTTTTATTAATATATTACGTAGCTATTATTATAACATTCAGCTAATATTTTGCATCGCTGTTTAATGTTATTTACCAGTTTATTACTATTCTGTTATTTTGTAAGCTTAAGATGATTAATTATATGTAAAAGAATAGATTGCAATCAGAGAATTTTGAATTAAAAAATAACGATTTGAAATAACAATTACATTAAAATGGATCAGAAAATTACATATATCACACGTTTTTTATAAAAATAATATTATACATAGTTTCATATATGTATCTTAGAAGAAAAGCTTGATATTTGATAATACTTGTCAGGGAACACTGGTCTTTCGATTGAAATTTCTGGGACGATTAAGCGATTGCGATTCTTATTATTAAATCTCTTGATCTCTATCATTAGCTTTCAAGCATCGGCTCTTGTAAGATAAATGTTTGTTCTCTGATTAACTTTGTGAATTTGTTCTTATCTCTTCGAAAGAGAAACGTGTGTGGAGAGTAAATAATGTATAGCGAGGTTTGCTTATATCCTTATATGATCGTACAATGAAGATTACCAATGCAATTAAATAATACACGATATGTGAAAAAAAATCATTAAATCAATTTTCATTTCATGCAATGCTTTAAATTAGAGGATGAAAACGTGAGATGTTGTTCGCAGGTTAACTCATCCCAATATCGTTCAATTACTGGAGACGTTCGAGGACAAACACAAGGTCTATCTAATTATGGAGCTGTGAGTAACGTGCATTTATATCATTCTTCGATACGATAGTATCGAAGATTAGATTTAACATTTAAAATATTGAAGATAAATGTTGCAAATTATATCGTAGGGTCACCGGTGGAGAGCTGTTCGATAGAATAGTCGAGAAGGGTTCATACACGGAAAAAGATGCGTCCGGCTTAATAAGACAGGTGCTCGAGGCGGTCGACTACATGCACGAACAGGGTGTCGTTCACAGAGATCTCAAGCCCGAGAATCTTCTGTATTATAGCCCGGACGAGGATAGTAAAATCATGATCAGCGATTTTGGCCTATCGAAGATGGAAGATTCCGGAATTATGGCGACCGCATGCGGCACACCGGGATACGTCGGTGAGTTTTTAGTAACGGTAAACAGAAAACAAAAACAAGAGAGAGATTTCAAGCGTCAATGATCAAACGCTGTTCCGATGATTCGCAGCACCCGAGGTTCTGGCACAAAAGCCATACGGCAAAGCGGTGGACGTTTGGAGCATAGGTGTCATCTCGTACATCCTCCTGTGCGGTTATCCTCCGTTCTATGACGAGCACGATGCCAATCTATTTGCGCAAATTCTGAAAGGTAATAGAATAAGTTCTGTCTAAATACAGAGATCTAACCGCTTTACTTTTATCGACAAGCACACGCGTATACACAGTAGTATAATTAATTCTGCATTTTGCATTTCTAAGACAATATCTTCTAGATATTCTGCACCGGTGTCTCGTAATAAGTAAGAAATACGTTTCGCGATCTAAGATTAATAGGGGTGAAAAGTACTATAGCACATGACAGCATTTTGAGCAAACTTTGGACATTAAGAACGCGCATTCGTTCAGTTTAGAATATTATTTTTTGCGAATCGATATAATAAGTAAATTATATACTCTTTATAGCAAAGAGCTAACCAGATTGTTGTAGGTGAATTTGAATTCGATTCACCGTATTGGGACGACATCAGTGATTCCGCAAAGGATTTCATTCGAAAGCTGATGTGTGTCAATGTCGAGGAGCGTTACAGTTGCAAACAGGCCCTTGCACATCCTTGGTAAGGATTTTAAAAATTATTGAAAAGATCTATATTTATATATATTATATAATATTTATTACATATACAATATTTATCACATAATATTTATTACAATATTTATTATATATATTACATATTTATAAACATCGGTGAATTTTGTAACTAAATATTTATAATGGCTGACTCTCTTGTCATTACTTCGCAAATGTATAACAGCAAATATATACAAAGAAACTTTAATATATTTTCAGTAGTTCAAAATTGTACAAATAAGGAAAGTCTGATTTAATTTAATACATAACATAATTGCATCATTTTGATATTTTCAGGATTTCCGGCAACGCGGCTAGCAATAAGAACATTCACGGTACCGTATCGGAACAACTTAAAAAGAACTTTGCCAAATCGAGGTGGAAGGTTGGTATCGCCGATCGATTAGCGTATATGGTTAATCCGCGTGTCTTTGCTCATCATAGGAATGTCTTTCCTTTGTGTTATGGTTACAGCAAGCGTATCACGCGGCCACGGTCATACGGCAAATGCAACGGCTGGCGCTAAACAGCGGCCAGCAGCAGCAACAACAGCAACAGCAGGTGCAAGAGGGCATAGGTTCCATCGGCTCCTCCGGCAACAACCCCATGCAATATCGAGAGCAATCGCAAATCAGTTACAACCAGCACACGGGGAAAGTGGGGTCACTACCCTCGAGCCACCTCAGCAACTGAAGCAGAACACGTCGCTCGACTTGTCGCCAAGTCTGCTGACGTTTACGAATCTCACTTCTCACGCCATTCCGATTACTCCCGCCGATCGTTCGCCGCCGATGCTTATTGTATACATACGCAACAAACGCTTCAAGCTGTGGGGCAGCATACGATGCACCGCTCTCTCTTTCTATCCATTCTATTTTGGGACAATGTGTCGTAACTTAGGAAGCAACGGAAGCATAAGAAGAATTGAATCCAGGTAAAGTCTCGTGCACATGAAAGACCGGGTCAACCGAGTCACATCACGCGATGTAGCCGTCGCTTCAAGCTACAGAAACGACGGAGATAAATTATAAAGCCAATTTGTGCTTCGCGTTGATGACACACACACACACACACCCACATATACATACACACACATACAAATTAAGAGACACAATTGACATCGAAAGGCGTAAATCACAATTCGCTTTGGGCCCATGCGATATCATACGACTCTCGTACCTTCTTCTATGATAGTTACGGCAATTACTTTCGCTTAAGCTTTATTCTTATGATTTACGATGTTTCCTGTGTTATACATGCATAAGCAATAAGTCGCGTAGCAATTTACAGAATACGTTTTGTGTCGATTTGATAGATAAAAGGCGGTCGCATCTCTCTAAAGATACAAGACTTGAAGATTGCGTGCCGCGATTATATCCGCGATCACTTTGTTAGATCGAGTCCGCTCTATTATATAATGTAACATTATATATAAATATATACATTACGCGAACAGTACAACGACAAGTTTTTATATTTTATAAAAAATTTGGTGTAATAAGTAGCGCGGCTGTTTGATACAATTCTGTGCAGCATAGAGACCTTGTACTGTTAGATCACGGATGAATATGAGAAATTCTATCTACTACGGTTCCTATGTAATTCGATTCTCGCTCACTCCGTAATATACACCTCAGAGAATGATAGATAATGATTTGTTATATATTTACACAGAGGTTATAGTTTACTTCTTCCGGATGATCCGCAAAAACCTATTATCCAAAAAATGCAGACGAAATATCGAGAGGTCGCTTAATGCACAGAGACATAGCCTGAGGTCTATTTCTTTCTCTCTCTCTCTTTTTTTCTTTTTTTTTATTAACGGGTTTTATTTCTATATATATATTTTTTAAATATAATTGAGACATACCTTTACTTATATAAATGCTTGCATAGCAAATACTTGTACAATGTACTATCCTATATAATACGTATCCTACATACATACATACATACATACATATATATATATATGTATGTATATATATATATATATATATATATACTTTTCTCTCTTCTACTCTTCATATACATAGTGATATTACACATAGGATTAACACATAGGATCTGCTCTGTGAATAGGATTGAGCTAGCTTGACACTTAAATACGTATATGTACATTATTCTGCTAATACTATATCGCACTATATGACACTTCTATTTCTATAGGATACGTAAGGTGTACATAATGCACAAATACATGTTGAAACTCACATAGATTATCTTGCGTGCCTGATTTTAAGAGATATACACATTCAGAGAAGCAGTTCTGTAAAGATACTGTTACAGCGATTGTATAATTATTTCCTACATGTAAAGACACGTTACGTTATTTTGTTACTTTACTCTGCTACAATTTGTATGATGATTTAAAAGATTTATAATAATGGCATATATATATACATATGTCTAGTGAACGAAAATTCCTTTTTGTAAAGAAAAATGCCACATTTATGTAAAGACAAAATAGTAATGTTATTTTTAATAATTGGAACGTGTGCCATATATATGAACTGCTATACAGTATAGGAGCTAATAATTTTTACGCCTATTTTATTTTATGAGTAAACGGAAAATCGGATTGAAGAGAGATTAAGACCATCTTCCCTCTGGAGTCACGCTGTAGCTATCCGTAGCGCGGATTTCTTCCTGACAGTCAGCATTGCATCCATTGAGCGAGATTCCAACATCGCTCTGGAGTCGTATACTTTATCACTGTGTTGAAACTGGCATAAGGTTGAGGTCTGAATAGTTCAATGGTAAGAGCAGTTGCCCGGAAAACGAAAAACTGATTCGATTCTCGATTCAGCTACTCGTACCTCGCATATTTTTTCAAGTCCACAAATATTGTTTTCTAACAATTATGTGTTGAATTGAACAAGTATATAAATGCCCTACATACATAGATATGTCAGTTTCTCTGCCATGGATTGCTACAGCGTGGGCACTAGTGCCATCCTCTGGGCACTAGTGTTACCCTTTGCTACATACACTCCTGTTTACTTGGAGAGATGAAAGAGAATGTTATTTAAATGATCTGACTTTTGATCTGTTTATTGCATCTTCATTATTTTTATTTGCGACGTTAGTAAAAATATAATTTCTCGCAATAATAATTTTACCGTATCCGTATCAAGACTGGTAGTCGTGAAAACCTCTTTTGTGCGAGATATAAAAAAGTACAATTGTAATTCGGGATGATGAGTTTCATACCGTTAAGCTTTACTGTAAAGTGAACTGAGCATGAAGCTTGTAAATCACGTCTTAATCAAAATACACATTTTGAATGCCCTATATTTACCAAAATTGTTGCTTGAATGGATATTATAGTCGAGTTTGATAAATTGGGACAGATATCGTGTAATGTAAATCGCTGTTCAATCGCAAAGCTAAAGTATCCTTTGCAAGACATATCTACGAATAAAAAGAGACCGACTAGCAATTTCCGTGTTTCACACTTAGTTATGAAAGTAGAATACTTGGAACATACACACATATGGCTCTTGTTAAAAAAAAGATCTGAGTAGCAAACAATGTAAAAAAAAAAAAAAAAATATGCTAATTGCGCTTTATCGAACAGGTATCCCTGTTGTTATAGTGTATATTCACTCTTTCTCTCGGAATTAAATTATGATATAATACGATATAATCTCTTGGCATTATCACATATTAGGCATCCGTCCGTACAGCGGGCACTTTTTGATGTAAGGAAATATCGCAGAGAATTATAGAAAAAGAAAGCGTACTGAATCTCGATTATGATCTTATCTTTGAGGATGCGTTGGAGAACATTGCTCTCTAGCAGTGAATTTCGTCCAATTAGACATTTGGAACATCTTAATGTTGCGAATGGTTTCTTTTTTTTTACGAGGAAACAATTATAGCGCCCCGAATAATTTAAATATTTTTACCTCGCATCTCGAGTTTCATGTTCTTGATTATAGCCCCATGGTTGGGAAAGTTACTTTATAAAAGTAACTCGTTACCGTTCTTTTTTCTAAAATGTAACTCGTTACTGTTACTCCTCGTTACCAATTTTAAAAAGTAACCAATTTCCGTTACTCAAAAAATAACGAGTCGTTACAATTTCCGTTAGTTTTTTTTTATATATAACACAAACTTTACATACAATTTTTTTTTAATACAAAATCAAATTAAACATTAAAAATTTTTAAACATTATCTTACATTCTTACAAAGTAGAAAAAAACAAAATATCAGAATAAGCTTCCAGTAGTTTTCATGTAATACTGCATTCCAACACTCTTATCAATATATTCCTTTGTATGAAAATTATACCGAGTAAATTCGAAAAAAGGAACGATAAAGGTAGCTGTTAAATTCGTTACTCGTTACCGAAAAATGTAACGAAGTTACTTTTTCCGTTACAAACAAAATTTGTAACGCCGTTACCGTTACACTTACCCAAAAAAGTAACTATAACGGTAACGACGTTACAAGTAACGCGTTACTTCCCAACCCTGCATAGCCCTAAATCCGTTAACAACGGACACTCTATTTTACGGCTGTAGAATAATATTTGTTTGGCGGTGCAATGAACAAGCGATATAACAATATATAAAATTACCGTTAATTATACGCTTTTTAAAGTATAATCCAACTAAACTATTATTGATATCTTTCATTGTATAAATTGACTTCTGAAGTGCCTTGGATGACATGATGATGGTACATTACCATACGTGCCATTAATAGAGACTTTAGTAGGTGCTTATATCACAGAACGTGTTCGAATATCTATGTTGCGAAATAACGATTTTTTTTCTATCAAAGTTTGTAGATTATATTTAAAGCGCTTAAGTGTATCAATGCGTAAAAAATGTACGTCCAGCGCTCCACAATTTCTTGTATGAGTAAAATATGCAAAGGATCGAAGATTGTTGATTGAGTGTGTGGATATACATGCTATAGGTATTTTTCTCATTAATACAATAGATTGGGGTAGAATTAGAATTCTATATTAATCAGTGTAACCATTATATTGCAGTAATAGTCTCCTTCGAGCGTATACCTGTGTTCTTTCGACCCCGATGCTAAAGTGCTCCGCGTGTGATCAACATCATGTCATCTAATAAGAGAGATTCGCTAGAAAACATTCGTTTTACGCTAATAGGCACGCATGTTGTGCGACGGCTCTGCGATAAAAATTCTAAAAAAAAGGAGAGATCTTTAAAACGGAGCTTTAGTTTGTATATTCAGAATACCGTGCCACACACATATGAACAAACATATCGGCAGGAATACTGTAAATGTGATGTAAAGATAAGCTGATCCTAAATAGTGATGAGAACAAATTGTTAATGCAGTTCTAGCTAAAGAAAAAAAAAAAAAAGTTGTTAAGGCCAATCTGACTGCTGTGTGCATAGAGTGAGAACGAGAAAGGAAACGATAGAAGTAGCGTGATGTACTACATGCGGTGTCAAAAGTCTTCTCTTCACTCGCGGCAAAGACTTCTGACATGATCTGTGCGTATATCATTTGTGTTATATACCGAAACAATTTTTCGAACTTTATCTAGGAAGCGAGAGTTCTTGTCTAACGTTAATGCGGTTGCATACATCGAGTACTAATATCTTCCTATCCTATATTTTTCTCATTGTATAAGGCTTTTCGCGATCGTTATGCTAGAAAACGCAAATGTACCGAGTTCAATAATCGCCTCCCGTTGAGACAATTTTGCCTCCCCCCCCCCCCCCCT